TATCCAGAGACACCATGAGAGAGTTTTAGCCGAAAAACTTGGGTGGCCCTCGGGGGCTAGGGTGCGCGTTGAGCCTTTGCGTCGGGTTGCGAACCCTCGGACCACAGGGATCGGTTTAAGTGCCCAGGGGAGCATTTGATTAAGACTGCCTTTTGCGAAGGTTTGTGGACAGGATCGGGCTCGTAGTTCGGGGTACTTCTGTTTAGGACTGTGCCCGCTGTGCCAGATACCTGACTCGGTCAGGCACCGTCTCTACGAGTGTCAGCATCAGGGCGATGTGGCAGCTCGAGAGGAGGCGGAGGTCTCGGCTGACTTCTACCGCGAAGCTCTTGACAGTGGCGATGCGCTGCACGACGGGCTTAAGATGCTGCATCCGGTCGACAGCTGGCCCAGCCTTAGCGATGAGCATGCGCCTGTCTTGTATGATGAGGATGGGCAGGAGGTGGAGTGGTCGAAGTTTGACTGTACGGGGCTCTACCAGGCAGGGGATGTGTCATGCATACCACACTGTATTTCGGAGTTGTGCAGAGCTGCGTCTTCTTGGGTCTTCTTTGATGACGAAGGCCACCAGAAGTTTGTCGCGCGGGGAGTGGTGTGGCCCTCCTTGCCCCAGACTAGCCAGGCCGCGGAGCAGCTGCAGTTGGCGCTACTGCCCATTTTCGTGCCGAGGTTGGCCTCTGAGTGTTACAGTGATTGTATGAATGCGGTCAAGCTCCACAACAAAGGTCCCCTCGAGCAAACCTCCCCGAAGCAAAGGTATGGAGGTCTCAGGCGAGGCGCCCTGGTCCATATGTACGAAAAGAGGTTTGCCCCAGCTGTTCGCACGCCTGCGCGCCGCAAGCTAGAAGTGATAGATGCGTTGTCTCAACCAGAGCGTAGGATTGGCCAGGCCAGCTGGCGAGCAGATCTCGAGGCCAAGAAGGCCATCGATCTGCATGCGCGCCCGTCGGAGGCTGAAGTCAAGCAGTTAGATTGGGCCATCGGCCAGATGCGCAAGTGCGCACGGCTGATGGCGAGCGTGCCGCCGCTGTTTCATCGTGCGTCTCACCAGCGGCCACCCAGGCGTGGGAGACCCACGAAGGTTTTTGACAAGGCCACGTCGTGGCATGCCTGGCAGCGGAGCCTCTGGGGGCTTCGGCGCACCAAGTGTCTGGTCTTCTTCGGGGGACGACAGCACGAGCGCCCCGAGCTTGGATGCGAAGGTTTCCCTGAGAGAGTGGCCGAGCTCCTGGTCGCTGCCCCCGATCACGGACACAAGCTGGCGAGTGCCCAGGTTGGAGATGAGCCCAATCCGTTTTTCTTTTGTCTGGCCTGCGGAGCGTACTCGCAGCGCAAGATTCGCAGTTTGGCCACCCGCTGCCAGCCTGGCAGCATTCGCAGCGGTGGCCAAGTGTTGTCTCGGCTGCGCAGAGGGCTTCATCCCTTGCGCTGCGCGGCAGTCTCCTGTGCTGAACCTGAAGAATTGGTGGCGAGGCAGGAGGCGAATGTTGTTTTGCAAATGGCGCGCCGCGGCGAAGTGGCGGCCTCTGCAGCCCTGCCGCCTTGCCTGGAGGCCATCCGTGCCCGCATAGCGGCGCAAGAGGCTGCAAGCAGGGCGCTGTGAACTGTCGCACTGGGGCTCGCGGCTTGGAGCATGGGCCACCGGGTCCGGGGCCCCGGCAGCCCTGGAATCTAGGCCCTGGGGGGAACGGAGCCCGCTCGGGGCGGGTCGGGGCTGCGCTCGCGGTGCGCGGCGCGTTTGCCCCGTCGTTCCCTGGGGGGGGGCGCTCGGGGCTCGCTTGGCAGCCGTTTGTCGGCTGGCGCCCCTGTCGCGGCCCGGCTTTCCGGGGGGGCCCCGCGCCCGAGAAGCGCGCCGGGGGCCCCCGGCATTGAATTCCCCCGGCGCGCCCCGGGGGAAAGTGCAGCAGCGGTTTCGGCATCCCCCGGGTCCAAGTACATTTGCATTAGCCAAAACGGAGCCCAACTGTAGCAACCCAAAGCCAGGGCAACTATAGTAACCCAAAAACGAGACCAAGTGTAGTAAATTGGTCGAAGCCACGAGCCAGTTCACTACTGTAGTACATGAGTTTGAACAACATTGCGAAAAGAGGATCTGCGTGTATTAATTCAAAAACGAGGCCAACTGCAGCAACCGAGAAGCGAGGTCAAATGCGGCAAGGCGAAAACGGGGTCAACTGTAGCAACCAGAATCGAGGCCAACTGTAGCAGTTCAAAGACGAGGTCAACTGTAATAAACGAGGCCAGGCGTAGCATCTCCCAAACGAGGCCAACTGTAGTAGCCAATCAACGACAACCACTTTCACAGTGTAGTGAATACGTGATTTTTGTGCGCGCGACTTCGGGCCGCGACGCCGGCTTGCCCACGGCCGTTCCGCCGCCCTCCACCCTTTCTTCCCTCCCCTCTCCTCCCCCCTGTTATTCCTCGTCGTCGGCGTCGTTGTCGTCGTCGGTGTCGTCATCGTCGTCGTCGTCGTCGTCAGTACCTCGCCCTCCTCTTCCTTTTCCCCTTTCCTGTGCCGAGTGAGAGGAGAGCGCGGGGGAGGAGGAGGAAGAGAGACGGCGGGCGGAGGAGAACCAGGAGGAGGAAGAGGAGGAGGAGAAAGAGGAGGAGGAGGAGGAGGAGGGATAGGAGGACGAGGTGGAGGAGGAGGCGGAGGAGGAGCCGGACGGCGACGACGACGACGACGATGATGACGAGGACGCGGACGAGGAAGAGGAGGAGGAGGAGGAGGAAAAGGAACAGAAGGAGGAGGAGGAGGAGGAGGAGGAGGAGGGCGCCATCGACAGGGAAGGTGAGGGCCACGAGGTCCGCCAGCTTGACGCCCGCGTCGCCCGCGCCCGCCCCCTCACTCTTATCCGCAATTGCGGGGTGCTACGTATTGCGGGATGCAAAACTTTTGGATCCGTGATCGGGGTCCGGATGTCTTCAGGTTTTCGGGTTCATCAACAACGACCCAATGTTTGGCGAGAGAGAACAGTGTTGGGCGGAGGAAGGGGGTGCGGGAGGAGGAGGGCGGAGGAAGGACCAGGAGGCGAGGTTTGCAGGTAGAGGAGGTGGGGAGCAGGGAAAGGATTAGCGAAACGAAAAATGACATACAAATAAAGACTCGGAGCTCCGCGCGGATTTCTCGGATCGGTGCTGGATCTCCGTCCTTGGCGCGCGGAGCGCGCCAGGGCGCCAGGGGCGGCGCAGGGGGCGCCGCCAGGGGGCACCAGCGCGGATCCGAGAAATCCGTTCTGACCTCCGAGGTGTTATGTTTGCATCATTGCTTGTTTCCCTAAGGGTAGAGGGGAGGAGGGAGGGGGAGGAGACGGAGGACGAGGAGAAAGAGTGAGTGAACAGTGGAAACCGACTTTAGTCCCCACAACAATGGGTTTTAAATGTCAACGTTTTGCAAACCATGGCGAATGTGCGTAGGTGTAAGCGCCCTGTAAGCGAGGTCATTGCCAGCTGCCGCAGGTGGAGGGGGGCCGCGCGCTCGATCCAGTTGGTCTAACGTTCCTCATGAGGGGGGCGGGGGGCGGTTTTCATGCATTCAGTGAGGTTGGGTGTTGCAGGGGACAGCCCCCCCATTCCTCCTCTCCCTCCTGCCTTCCCTCTCCGATGGATGGGGGGCGTCGGAGCTCCTCGGAAGCGGAAGAAGAGTGTGGAGGGGGAGGCCTCGGAGGAGGCGGAGGGGGCGGAGGAGGATGAGGAGAATGATGAGGAGGAGGCCTCGGAGGAGGCGGAGGCGGAGGAGGACGAGGGGGAAGTGGCCTCGGAGGAGGACGAGGAGGGGATGCGGGATGTGTGCGGTGAATGTTTGGGACGCTTTCGATTGCTTCGGGGATGCTAGAAGGTCAGGCGGGTCTGAGGGGCCCAGAGGGTTCTGAGACAGGGAGGTGGACGGAGAGGGAGGAACCGGTGCAGCAACGAGATGGAGGGGTAGAGGGATGGAAAGGGAAGAGAGGGGAAAGGGGGCAAGGGGGCAAGCGAGGCAAGATCGCGCCATATCTGACGTCTTACACTCCCACACATCCATTCCCGTCGCACTGATTTGTTCACCATCAGTACGGGTGTCATAGCGGACCCCAATTACCTCATCGTGTTAGTCTCAATGAGAATGGGGAGCTGTGCACATTGGAGGATGGGGTGTTGGAGGATGAGCAGGAGGCAGAGGATGATCATGCGCATGGTAATGGGGATGAGGATAAGGGTGAGGGAGGCGAAGGGGGAGGGAGGCGGAGGGGAGGAGGAGGAGGAGGAGGAGGAGGAGGAGGAGGAGGAGCGCATGAAGATGAGCATGAGAAAATAGAAGGAGAAGCAGCAGCAGCAGCAGCATGAACAGGAACAGGAGGAGCGGGGGCAGCAGGAGGACCAGGAGACGGCGGAGGAAATGTAGAAGCTCTCGGATCCAGAACTGTGGCCCGCGCCCGGGCGAGAGCGCTCGGAACGACGGGGTCTGGATTACGAAAAGAGGGGAGAGGTGGCAGCCCGCCGGCAGTGCCGACGTGTGTCAGCTCGCGGCAGGCCAAGCAGACCTGGCGCCGAGGATGAGCCCAGGCCCTCCCTCGGCCATCCTCCCCGTCCGCCTTGGCGGCCACAGCGTCGGAGTGCCCAGGGAAGGCATCGATCTGGCGGTGGAGGGCAAGGGCGGATGCCTCGGGGCCACCTCGGCGAGCGTCGGCTTGACGATTCCGTGTGCCGTCGAGGGCCAACCTCATCCCTTTTGGTGCTTCCCCCCGTAGACACACTAACGGCGATGTGGGTAACGGCGATGTAGGTTTCGGTATTGTAGGTGTGGGTGGTTCGTGGCCAATTCCATTGTAGGAAAGTGTTGTTCGCGCTATCCTACACTTTGTTCTGCACGAGCTCGGTGGATCACAAACCGGCTTCCGAATATCGCTGTTGAACCAACTTCGCCGTTAGCGTGGCCTTGGTCCTTCCTCCTCCCCGACCCCTGCACCTCCTGGTTCTCCTGCTTCCATGCCCTCCCCTCGTCCCCGCGGTTGGTCCCAAGGAGAGGCGCCACTCCCTCATCCTGCAGCGGCTGAGGGAGGTGTCCTACATTCAATCCAAGGCGTGGACGACGCGGGTTGGAGGGAGGAGGAGGAGGAGGACGAGGAGGAGGCAGGGGAGGAGGAGGAGGAGGAGGAGGAGGACGAGGAGGAGGAGGAGGAGGAGGGAGGGAGATGGGGAGGGAGGAGGAGGAGAAGGAGGAGCAGAAGGGCGCTTGGAGGGATGAGGAGGAGGGGGAGGAGGACCAATGCAAACCCAAGAGTCATCAACGATGTTGGAATAAGCCCTCCCTCCACGCTCCCTCTTCATAGGCTTCTACAACGGTTCATACCCATTGAGGGAATGGCCTCGTTGGAAGACAACCGTTTGAAGACTCTGAAGCATGCAGAAACATTGTTCTCGGGATTCCAACACCACGGATCAACTTAATTGTTGTGTTTTGACGATTTTGAACGCCGCTCTTGGGAGTGCAACACCGCGAGTGATCGTAATTGTTGCATCCTCATAATCTGGAATCCTTCCAAAACACCAGATGTGGTTCCTTGATCATGGGAACCAATGGATCGCTTGTAAATGTTCAAAACGAATGTGCGCGGCGCTCGGGCGGGAGCCACATTTTTTGAAAAGGAACCGCCTTCAATCCGTGAAATTATTGCAGATGTCTGAAACGAATGTACGCAGCTTAAGGCGAGAGCCACATTTTGAGAAGAAACCGCCCTCAATCCGTGAAACTCTTGCAACTGTTTAATGAATGTGCGCGGGGCTGACGCGAGAGCCACATGTTGAAAACGGGTTCCCCTCAATCCGTGACGTCTTGCAAATTATTTAAAAAACGAATGTGCACGGCGCTGAGTCGAGAGCCACATTTTGAAAACCACCCGCCCTCCATCTGTGACACTGTTTCTGATGTTGAAGCTTCATGGTCATACATGAAGAGGAAGTCTCAGGCGAAACGCCCGGCCCGCCCTATCTAAAATTTGGCCTCGAGGTGCGACAGGGAAAGTTATTCATAAAGAAACGGAGCGGAGAAGGAAGAAGATGAGGGGGGTTGGAGGGAGGCGGAGGAGGAGGACGACGACGACGGAGGTTGGGGGGATGAGGAGGAGGAGGACGACGACGACGACGCTTGAGGTTGGAGGGATGATGATGAGGAGGAGGACGACGACGACGATCGGGTTGGGAGGGATGAGGCGGAGGAGGAGGAGGAGGAGAAGGAGGAGGAGGAGGAGGTGGACTTGGAAGTAGGAGGAGGATTCTGGAGGAGGAGGGTTTGATGTGGTTTGTAGAAGGTTTCACAAGCCGTGCTAAAGGGTGCCAGCGGGGGCGTACTGATATGTGGTATGCTGCACCACGTCCGCTTAGATGTTTGAATACGAGACAATGGCTAGGCTCACGGCTTGCACAAATAATTCAGATGTTGCGTCACAGGAGGATGATAGGGAGGTGGATATGGAGGAGGAAGAGGAGGAGGAGGGAGTGGGAGGGATTCAGTTGAACCCCGGGATAGGGTCGCCATATTGGTGGGGTAGGTGGAGGGAGGAGTTTGGCTTTGAAGAGGGTGAGACAATCGAGGGGGTTCTGAAGGATTGTAGGCGGCAGGGATGGTGGTCGCAGGGAGTGGCGGAGGTATCCTGAATCCAGTCGAAGGCTTCTTCGCTTGCCCCTCCCATCTTGGCCCGCATCCTCTTTCTCATCCTTCTTATGCTCCTCTTCACTCTACTCCTCCTCCTTCTCCTCCTCCCCCTGCTCCTCCTCCTGCACGTCCGCTCGGGCCCAGTCCTCACTTGCCTCTTGTCCTCCTCGCCTTCCTCGCACCGTGGGCGCCCTGACCGCCCCACGGGCAAGGCGGACTCCTCCCCGCCCCCTCCCGAGGCCGCTTTTCTGGCCATCGGCCCAAGTCTCGGGAGGGGCGGCGAAGGGGGCCGCCACGGAAAGGGAGGGGGGGGGGAGGGTCGGCCTGGCTGCGCCAAGTCTTCCAGGCACTTCTCTTCCCCCCCATCCC